GATGTTCTGTAACTCGGCTCCCGCGCGCCTACCGCTGGCGGCTCCCTCCGCCTCCTCCACCCCGCCCTCCTCGGATACCAAGGCTGGGCCTGCGGCGGCCCTGGGGAGGGGGCACCCAGAGGGTTTCTAGAGGCCAAGAAACCCCGCCCCGCACCCTTCTGAGCCTCTTCTGTCTCCAAAGGTAAGTAGACCCCCGCTCTTCCAACCCAGCCTCAAGGTTAGCCGCACATCCTCCCACCGCCACCCGCCAGGCGGATTGCCCCCACTTCAGTCCACCCGCGCCCCGCCTCCCCGGGACTGGGGGCTTGGATTTGGGATTTGTAGAGGCTGGGGAGTGTAGACCCCAAATAGATCTCAGCCTCTCCCCAGTGCTAGGCCTGGCGACAGGCCATGGTCACAGCGAGCCTCTGGCTGTGGGGCAGAGGGCACTTGGGCAGTCTTCCCCTATACCGAGCTTCGAGGTCGCAGAGACCAGGCCCGGGGCTCCCGGATACGGTGCAGGCGGCTGTGGGTGTGGCGTTTGATGTGTGTGTGTGTGTGTGTGTGTGTGTGTGCGCGCGCGCGCGCGCGCGTGTGTTTTAACTCGGTCCCCACACCTTTCCTGACACTCAGTAGTAATTCACTAGGCGGAGGAGATCCTCTGCTGGCGGAGGGGGAAAATGTCAGAGTCGGGAAACTATTTAACTATTAACGCGCTGAAAGGACAGAGAAACTGGGGGGAATGGGCCCATTTAGGGATGCTCAGGTGAGAGGTGGAGAGATGATCTCCCAGATGTTCCCGCCTGGGACCCCCACCCCGACTCCCTTCCGGAGTGGCAATCAGACTGGGGTCTTATTGAGGAAGGGCCCCAGAGATGCTGCAGAAAGTTTGGAGGTAAGGACGCTGCAGACCCGAGGCAGATTGTGTGAGCCTGAAAGCCTGACTAGGCCCCCCACCCCAGGTTCTTCTGACGCACCTCCTCCCCACTCCAGGCTGCAGATGCCTAGAAGGCAGCACCTGGAGCAGGGATCTCCCATGCTTCCTCTGAAATCCCCAGACACCCGGAGGGGTGGCTGGCAGCCAGGTGGGCTCCAACCCCTGGAGGAGTTAGCAAAGGAAAGAAAAAGGTGACGGAGCGCCCCTTCCCACCCCTCAGCCTTGTCTGAACCCAACAAAGAGGCTGTACCAAGCCTGAGCTGCCTCAAAAGAAAGAAACAGAGAAGACTGTAGGGTCGGGTGCGGGGGTGGGGGTGGGCAGAACTTCCTCATCTGCCGCCCTTCATCTCCCCTCTCAACGCCTGCTAAGTTCCTACTCACACTCCGTCAGTGGCCCAGGCCCTGCCTCATTTGCATACGGGGCAGAACCGCTTTCTGCAAACTAGGCAGTGACCTTGAACTGGGCCACCGAAGCCTCTCCACTGACCATGGAGAAGGCAGCACCGCGTGGAGTACTTCTGACCTGGGGTCCGCGGGGGAGCCAACTCTGGGCAGTTCGCAGCCGCTCCATGGTGGCCTGAGCCTCCCGCAGCTGCCTTGCCCCTGCCACCAGAGCGGGCATGGATGTTATAATTAACTCCTGCCGCTGGGCTCGGCTGGGCAGGGACTCGAGGCCCCGCGCAGAGGCCGCGAAGATGCGGGAGGGATGAAGGCACAGACAGAAGGTGCGGGAGAGGCGGTGGGACAGCCAGCTGGTGGGTGCGCAGGAGCAGGAGGGCTGCCTCGGGTCTTCAAGGAAAGCCTGGGGCCACATCCTAGCCTTCAGTTTTAATTAACCCCTGAGTTAATGAGCGGGGCATGGTTGAGCCAGGCCAGCTGCAGCAGGAGCTGGAGGCTCAATGGCCAGCAGGCAGGCCGCCTCTTCAAACCTTGGGATTTGATGAATGTGCGGGAGAGCAGACGCACAGAGCCCTCAGCAGTTCCAGAGCCTGGGTCTAGCCAATTATAGTTTTGCGTGTGGGCTGCGAAGTGCGGGTGGATAAAACTCGGCTAGACGCGGCTGCCCAGCGCTTTGGGTTGCGAGTCCCTCCCAGATCCCCTTCCCGAGCCCCAGTAGGTTCTTGGCAGGCGGCTCCCGCCGTGGCCGGATTTAAATTTGAAGCTTTGCACCCGAGCCTCCCGACGGCCCCGGAGACCCAGGCTGGGCACCGGGCTCTGGGGCCCGCTTGTGGGCGCCTGGGTTAAAGAGGGGGCTGAGCGGCGTGTGCGGTGCCGTGCCTTAAAGGTGGACAGATCCGCGGTGGTGCACTTAGATTGCCTGTGTCCTCGCCAGGATCCTGGAAACCCCTAGGCTCACAATGAATCTCGAGGAGCAGAACACTGGGGATGTGAACGTTGCTGAAGGTTCCCCGCAGCTCTCACTGAGCGGAAATCAGGGTCAGCTGCACGCCTCGAAGAGGGGTTTGTGCGTGTGCCATTGTCCACAGAATGGCAACCCCCGGGGGAAAATGCCCTTTTCGGATGGGGCCAAATCGGAGGGGGAGAAACTGTGTTCCTGGAAGAAGAAAGCCCTCCCTCTGTTCTCAGTTCCCCGGGCATTGCCTCTGCCGCCCGGTGGCCGCTGCTCTGTGTGCTCCGAGGCCTGGCTGGAGGGCAGTGTGCAGGGCTGTGGGCTGGAGGTTCTCGGGCTAGAAAGGGACAGGGAGAGTTAGGTACCTTCCTCCTGGGGTCCCCTTTCTGGGAGACTGGAGTCATCTGGAAGGGTAAAAGAGGATGGGGAGAAGCCTCTACCCCACGAGGACTAGGGATGACTGTGCACAGCTCAGCTCCGGGACCCTCATACCAACAATAGCCGCGGAGCACAGAGGCCTGGAGGCCCGGAGACCTTGCAGCCAGCGCAGTGTTCTGATAGAAAACAGCAACAATATTCAAGTCACACCCTGTTTATCTTTATTACCAAAATAACCCCCAAATAAAATTTTTAAAAATTAAATTTTCAGTGGTGCTCATTAATGCATCTGGAAACGGGGGCATACATAAGATGCTAGAGATGCTGTGACGTGGAATTTGCAGCTCAGGGATGCTCCTTTCTGCAGCCGCGCAGCCCCTTAATCAATTAAGCACAAAAAGGCCAATCCAGGCGGTCTCCTGCCCGCCGCTCGGCGCCCTGGCTCGCGCCGTTCTGACTTGAGGTGACTACGCGGGGCTAGCATCTCACCGTTCGGACTCGGTTCCGGCAAGTGGGCCTGGCAAGTGCCGGGCGCGGGTCGGGCTCCCAGGGGCGGAAGGGCCCTGGCCGGACCGCCCGGCGGTCCGGGCAGGGAAGGGGAAGTGGAAGAGGGGCGGGCGCCGCGCTGCGAGCCCTGAGCTGCGCCAGGCTGGGCGACGCTCGCTCGTGCGGACACATTTCTGTCCGAGGGAGCAATTCTGGTTGGGGATATGAAATCGCCCGGCGAGCTGTGGAATTTAAAGAATCTGCTTTTCTCTCTGCCGCGTCCTGCAGAGGAGAGAGAGAAAAAGGGAGATGAGAATCTTCGGCTTCGGTTTGCTTTTGTAGCTTTGGCTCATTCTCAGATACTTAACTTTCACCTACATGGGTTTCTTTCTATCATATTCTTGCGGAGACTCTCGGTTTCTCCAAATTTCTCTAGATTTTCTGGTGTTTTCCGCATTTAGACGTTTGCTGAACTATCTACTTTACCCTATATTATTCAAAGCCATGCATTGTATAGGAGCTTGGAACAAGCAAATAGAAATCTGAGTATTTTGCCTATACCAGACACCAATAGAATACATCTAGTTTTGAAGGCTTTGTTTTGGTTTTCACTTTAATCTGCTTATCTGTGTTCTGTGGACTTGCTTGGGATGGGTTTGTGGTTTCCAGATGTCGATTAATCTCATCAACGGCCAGCGTTGGATTCTCAACCTTGTCCGGAAGGAGCTGCTGAGGTTAGCACCATAAATATAATTTTAAACCCCAACAAGGTAATTCTCTGGAGTCCTCTCCCTCACTCCCAGCATACCTACTGGGATTGGCACTGCTATCTGATGGTCCCAGCAGCAGGCTGGGCTGGTTCTGGTGTGTGGGGGTCTCTTCTGCTGTGGGAGTCGTGAGCCTCTCAGGCCAGCCAAGACCTAATGAGGTCCCAGAGTCTCTTGCTGCAAAGACTCTGGAAGACCCCCAGAAGCCCATCTGACCCACAGAAGTCAAAGGCAAGAGTAGTTCAGGCCCCCAGATTTTCAGGAGCAGGTAGTCAGGTCCACCTAGAGTTGGGCACCTCCTTTTTTTGGCTTCTTCTGCCTCCTTTCTGCATCCCTCCTCTAACGGTGAGTGAAAGTGTGAGGCTGGAGTGGCTCTCAGCTCCAGGGGCGAGGGATACCCAGCATTAATAATTCTCCCATAGTCCTTCCTAGAGGAGAGGACCCCAAGTGCCTCCCAAAATTCCTGAGGAGAAAGAGCTGAGGAAGAGGAGCACAGAAGCGGCAGGGCTGGGAAAGACAGTGGCAGGAAAATCTGTCCTTACCCCCACTTTGCCTCTACTGTAAATAAACCCAGAGCCAAAGGGCTCATCCGTCTCCTTAAACAGCCAGTAAACTTTATATGACACAATATCTAATAGTAATTTATTGGGGAGATATTGTAAATTCCAACGGTTTTAGTTAATAAAGGAGCTAATTAAAGAGGGACAGGCTGTGCTTGGCCAGCTGTTGGCGAGAAGATAATACATCTGGGGGGGGGGAGTGCATGGTGCAGAAGTGCAGATGTGTGGGTATTTTTGGTGTGACTTTTTCCCTCTTGCCCCGTGTCCGGCGATTGCCTCACTCTCTGCATTAGGTTTTATATGATATTTTTAAAAACCAGAATCCAGTGAATAAATCTGCCCCAGCATTTTGTCCCCCCCACCCCGAGTGGGGAAGGGGAAGTTGGAGTTGGTGCGGGGTGGGGGGGATTCACTGTCCCCACCCATCCCCCTGGCGGCGGGGCCCACGTGAGCTGGATGGCCAATGGGTGGCTGGTGCAGGTTTAACTATGTTTAATGTCAGATAGCAATAAAGTAGAAGCTGCCGGTCGGGCCCCGCGGAAATGGGCGAGCATAATCTCCTGAATCCCGGGTTTGTGGGGCCGCTGGTGAACATCCACACGGGAGACACGTTCTACTTCCCCAACTTCCGCGCGTCCGGGGCGCAGCTGCCAGGGCTGCCTTCGCTGTCCTACCCGCGCCGCGACAACGTGTGCTCGTTGCCCTGGCCGTCGGCGGAGCCCTGCAATGGCTACCCTCAGCCCTATCTCGGCAGCCCGGTGTCGCTCAACCCGCCCTTTGGCCGCACGTGCGAGCTGGCGCGAGTGGAGGACAGCAAGGGTTACTACCGCGAGCCCTGCGCGGAGGGCGGCGGCGGGGGCTTGAAGCGTGAGGAGCGCGGGCGCGAGCCGGGCCCGGGAGTCGGGCCGGGGGCAGCGTTGCTGCCGCTGGAGCCGTCGGGGCCGCCCGCGCTCGGTTTCAAGTACGACTACGCGGCCGGCGGCGGCGGTGGCGACGGTGGCGCGGGACCCCCGCACGACCCGCCCTCGTGCCAGTCACTGGAATCCGACTCCAGTTCGTCCCTGCTCAACGAGGGCAACAAGGGCGCCGGCGCGGGCGACCCGGGCAGCTTGGTATCTCCTTTAAACCCCGGCGGCGGGCTCTCGGCCAGCGGTAAGGACCCCAGCCCACTCGTGAGGCGTACTCAGGACAGGACAGCTCTCCGGGGGCGGGCAGTGTAGGACTGAGCTAGGGCCGCCTGGGGTGACAGAATGTGTGGTGAGAAAGGGCTTCCTTTAAAAAGAAGTACGGGGTGGCGGGGGGCGCCTATAAACATGTAAATATCCCCATAAAAGAACTGCACAGAGTCCCCTTTTCGCCGACCTGCGGCTGGAGGGGGCAGGGAACTCCGGAGAAGGGGACTCTGACCGGCATTTCCCCATGCCTGGGGTGGGGACTGAGACCTTGGTCCCTCTCTTTAGGGCCTCTCCCTCCACCTTCACACAGGCTCCGTTACCTACATTTTTCCTTTCAAGAAATGCCAGTGGACCCGGTTTACTCTGGCCACTTGCTCCCATCTGTTCTAGCTGATCAGGGACCCCATCCTGGAGGATGTGAAAGGAAGGGGCTAGGATATCTGAGAGAAGAAGAGGTTTGGGGAGAAATGAGGGGATCGGAACCCAGAAGGGTCAGAGATACTACAGTGGGAGGTAGGGTTGAGGAGGCAAGGACGAGTGAAAGGGGAAAAAGAGAATGATGAAGGTGGGGGAGTTGATGGGGGTGAGGATCTGTGTAGAAGTGAGGGGATGAGACAGAAGAGCCAGGGCCTAGGGGTGGGCGGTAGGCCAAGGTGAAAAGGGCTGGGGAAGGACCGAGGAAACTGGGCTTGTCACCTCTTGGTCCTCTGGCCAACGCTGCCGGTTCGTCTCCACCCAGGCGCGCCCTGGTACCCGATCCACAGCCGCTCCCGGAAGAAGCGCAAGCCCTATTCGAAGTTGCAGCTGGCGGAGCTGGAGGGGGAATTTCTGGTGAATGAGTTCATCACACGGCAGCGCCGGAGGGAACTCTCAGACCGCTTGAATCTTAGTGACCAGCAGGTCAAGATCTGGTTTCAGAACCGGAGAATGAAAAAGAAAAGACTTCTGTTGAGGGAGCAAGCTCTCTCCTTCTTTTAGGGGGCAAGACACGGGCACCGGCCCCGGACTGAGCCTGTCTCTGACAGAGAGCAAGAGGGGGCGCTGCCTGGGACAGTCCCCGCTTAGAACGCCAGGCATCTCTGGCAGGCGCTCCTTGGACATCCTCTTGTCTGTTTTGTTTGTGGTTCCCTCCCACACACCCCTCAGCAGGCCCCGCCAGGTCCCAGAGAGAAGGGAAGAACCCAACCAGGGAGAGAGGAGCTGCAGGCTGGGGATAGGGACAGGGAAGGCTGAGGTGCTGGGGCGGGGCTGGTTTGCAGTGGAACTGGGGCATTTGGCCTCTGTCTGAGGATCTGGAGGAAAGGTAATCTGCCCTCCACCCCCTCTCCCCCGATCTCCTTCCATGGTCTTAAGCCAGGCTGCGGTAGGCAAAAGTGGAGACAGTGGAACCAAGTCTCCCCAAAGTCCCAGTAGCTGGAGTTAGGAGAGGGAGAGAGGAGGCAGCAAGAGTGGAGGGTCGGTGGAGAGATTGGAAGGGGTTAGGGTAGCTCTGGGAGGGTAGGAGGAAGTGCGGGAACCTAAGAGGAAGTGCGGGAACCTAAGAGGAAGTGCAGTTTGGGAGAACAGAGTGATCAGTAATGCTCAAGTCCACTGGGGTCTGGTCCTCTAGGCCTGGAAATGGAACAGGCAGAGGTGCAAGCACGTTTGGCAGACCTGGCTGCGGACAGGGAGATCATCAGCCTTATGTCCCCTCTAGGGCAGCCTGCTGGAAAAGTCTCCGATTTCCTTCTCCCGATGGCCCTGCCCTCACATTCGCTCACAGGTGTGCAGCCATCCACTCTTCCTGCCGCCTAGGCGGCTGCGGACCGGAAGCCCCAAGCACGGGATTGCGAGCTGAGCGGATGCAGGGTTAGTAACCACCCCAGGGACCCCCACCTGGGCCACCAGGAAGCCCAAGAGGCTGTGAAAGAGGCTTGCGAACCTAGCACTGATTGGCCGGGAGAGTTTCTGGCAGCCGCGGCTACCGCGGCTGATTCTCCCTTTCCCGCTGGCGTTCACGGTCACGGCCGGCCAGAGGCTGGACCGGCATAATTTACGAGGCAGGAGGAGAATCTGCCCTAAAGGGGCTACCGGCCACGGAGGCCCCAGCTCAGCCCGGGTTTCCCAGGCTGGTGACAATGAAGGAGGGGGCGCTGCTGCCCCCCACACACTCCTTTCTCTCTTTTACCCACCCCCACTCCACCCGCCCCCAGCGTTGCCCTTTGTCTCAGGATCCGCTGCCTGGGCCTCACCCTAGCTAGCGAGCCTCCGAGTAGGAGGACCAGAGTAGGAGGGGCACATCCCCAGAACCGGTTGGAAGCCAGAGTGGCTTCTTCAGCCCAGGACATTTTATTCATAGCCCCCTTTAGGCCCCAGCCCCAGTCCAATAGATCTAGGCTGGCTTAGGAGAGAGAGGCAGTGAAGAAGCCCCGCCGCACCTTCCTGCACTCTTGGTGAGAGCCCCTGGACGTCCCCCTCTGCTGACCCACCCTTGCCAGGAGTAAGAAGGTGAGAAGAGGGGACTGATGGGAGTTAAGCCCAGCATGCACAGTGTAAACTGGCCTGCTAGCTTGGAGTTCTTCCTGCCTGGGAAGAGTGTCCTCTAACCCACCCTCAAAAGGCAATCCCCAGAGCCTCCCACTCTCCCACCAGCACACAGCTTCAGGTCCCCCATACGGGATTGTGCAGAGGCATGGGCAAACACAGGCACAGCTGAGCCCAGCACTCCCATGGGGCCTATGCCACTTTCCTGACTGTACTTGTAAGCAGGCAGCCTCATGTCCCCAAATACAGCCCTGCAGAGTGGCTATACAATCACTTGCCCTCATCCCCCACTGGGCACCTGACACACTTCCCTACTGACGTAAACTTGTTTCACCTATGTACCAGTTTGCAGAAATCAGCATCATTCCAGCTGTCTGCACAATCCCTTCTGGGTTGACCCTGGGTACGTGGCACTCTCCCCTTTGCCTGGTCACCCATTACCCCTTCATGCAGCGCCCCCCCCACATTGTGGGCTCTGGGGTGCTGGATTCAAGCTTCACCACTCCAGCCTGATTCCTACAGCCTGGTAGAAAAAAGAGACCAGAACACTCCAAAAGGGGTGGGGGTACAAAGATATGCAATATTCTCTTCCTGTCGCTTTAAACTTGACTTCTGTGAGCTTCTCTGTCAATCTGTGTCCTGTTCTCTGTATCCGTTGCTAGTACCTAGTGTAGTCTCTGTGGGTAGATGCCCTTCCCAGCTCTCTGTAGTGTGCCCTCCTATTCAAACGTCTGTCTTTAGCACGTTTTCCCTTTATATAGTCCTTGTACAGAGTTGCTTCATCATATTAATATTAATAATAATAATTAAAACATGACCGAATGATGATGTGATTTTTTTTGAGAAATAATTTTAAACTGAGTCCCCACACATGGTCTCCTCTGCCCAGAAAGAAAAGAATGGGATCCCCATTCCTAGCAGCTCTCCCACTTGATTGTCTCCAGCTCAGGTGAATAATAAAAATAATAAATGTATAATGATAAAGGAAGAACGGTGCAGGGGCAACAAAAATATACGAGCAACAAAGATCTGTTGATGAGCTGCCATCTCTGGTCCCAAGCAATTACTAGCAGAAAGAAAATTGGGGGATAGAAGATTAGGGGGGAGGAGAGGGATATCTGAGGAGTCATGGGGCCATAAAAATAACGTAGACAGCCCAGAGGAGGCTGAAACCACCTTCAGGGCCTGAAAGAGGATGTCTGAGCTGCAGGATCTCCAGGAAGTGAAACCAGGGTAGGGACTCAAGCAGGTTGGGGCAAGGATGGCAAGAATGCCCTGGGATATGGGGCAGGGGCTGGTGAAACCACACTTCAACCCCATGGTCTAACCCCATGGCTTAACCCCGAGAGCACATTCTGTGCACGGCAAAATGACTAGATATGGGACTAAAGGCCCCTTGGAGCTGGCGAAATAGACTTCCTCTCTCTCGGCCAGCAATTGCCTCTGGGCCTACCTTGCCAGAGAGAGGCCCAGGTGGAAGCCAGAGTCTGGGTTCCAGCAAAGCCCATGGGCCCTCTGCACCTCCACTTCACCCTTTCATTCTGGGTGTGATATCCTCCCTCTGCCTCTACCCTTGTGCATCTGGCCCCTGAATTTCCCTTTCTCACAGCCTGGTTCCAACCAGGGAGTCTCCACCAGATTCCCTCTCCACCCTCCTGGGCCTGCTTTGGAAAAGCAGAGGCCCCCCATCAAGCCCAGAGTCCAAGCCACAACTCCTGGCTGGAAATCTTTCTCTCTCTCCCTTTCTTTCCTTACTCCTGCAACTAGAAAAACTAACAAATTTAAATTGAATCCCACTCTCTTTTTGCTCCTAACACACAGCTTATCTGGTGAAGTTGAAGGGTTTGGGCAAGAAGGAAGATCCCAAGCTTTGGGGGTGGTCACCATACAAAGGTCCCCACAGAGTATAGGCAAAGCTGGGAACAGAATAGCTTCTGGCAGCCATGAGCTGGGGAGGGGCTGGGTGGGGGCTGTGCCTAGGTCTGAATTAATTTGGGGGGGGGGGGGGGGGGGCAGGAGTTGAATCCCAATGAACCCAGGCATGGGACTACTCTATTCTTAGGACACATCTATATAGGAAGAATTAACAGTGAAGGCATTTCTGGCTAAAAGAAAGGAGGGAATTTAAGGAGGTCGGAAATAACTGGCCTTTAATTTATTCCCTTGATTTATTCCTGAGACACTGTGGATCTGAGAGAGGAGGTACTTTGCTGGGTCGTGTCTACACAGGTCCCCAAACTCAATAACTGGGGAGACTGTCAGAGAAGGAACGACACTATAACTTCCTCCTAAGGGTTGAAAAACTTATTGTTGGGTATCTGGGCCAAAGAGAATGTCATGATTGGAGCCTCCATCCAAATACTCAGGGCAAGGCTGTATTCAGCATCTCGGAAAGGATTGCATGTATTTTGCAACTATTTTTCTGGCTTAAACCCTCAAACTACAATTTACTCCATGGACTTTAAGACAAAGAATCTCGTGTCTCTAACTGGGTCTTGAGGAGCAAGAAACGGAGATAATTATCTGGATAATTCAGGTAGAAAATATTTCTGCTGTTGTGTATTTGTAAGCTTCTATCATCTCTGGCCCCTGTTGTCCACCCAGTTCTACTCCACTCTGACCTGCATAGACACAGCTACGGTATTTAAAGAAGCTATCGAGCGGGCGGGAGATGGGTCCGGCAGCCGGGGTTCTGTGGATGCTAATGCAGCCGGAAACCCGGCGCGCGATCGATGGCTCAGACCCGGAGCCGAGCAGGGACCGCCAGCCCCATCTAGGAACAAAGCAAACCCCCCGAGGCCTTGGGTTCCGGACAGGCCGGAGCTCCTGCCCACCATCCTCCCCGCCATTACCAGGAAAGTTGGAGCGGTTTTTAGGCCCCGGGCCGGCGCGGGAAACACACCCCGGAGCCCCCAACCCTCTCTGCGCGGCGGGCACATGGAGGCGCCGGAGGGTCGGGTGTAATTCATCGCGCGGCGGGCTGCAGGCGCCGGATCCCCCAGCCGCGCGCCTGCCGAGCCTTAGGCCGGCGTGGCCGCCTTCCGGCGTCTGCCTCGGTCGAGACAGAGCTGCGGGTTTTCCGTGAAGCGTGCGGCCGGCGCCCGCCGCCCCGAACGCCCCGCACCGCTGTGGCCCGGCGCAGCGCTCGCGGTCGCCGCTCAGGAGGAGGCTCCGAAACAAAGGCACGGCGGCCGCTGGTGAGGACACGGGCGCCCGGAGCCCTCCGTGGCCTGGCCGGGTGGAAAGGGCTCTGGGAGGTCGATCCGCGTCCCCGGCCGGCCCCAGCCCCGGCTCCCGTCCGCTGCAGGGCCCCCGGGAGGGGAGACCCGGCGCGCCTCTCAGCCCCCGGCTGCCCCGCGCAGCTCTCCGCCCAACAGCCGCCAGCCGCTCCTGTCGCCGCCCGAGGGCCGCCGGGCCCCCGCGAAGGACGGGATGACCCCTGCTGGCCGGAGCAG